TCCTGAATACCTAGCACTATTCCTTCCTTTTATATATTCCTTCCCTCCCTCTCTCCCTCCCACCCACCATTTTTTGGAGACAAGATCTCATTGTGTAGCCCTGACTGGCCTGGAACTCAAGAGATGTCTGCCTCTGCCTCCTGAGTTAAGAAAGTAAAGGCATGCTCTAGCCCATTCAGCTCCCACCACCACCAACCACCCTTTAATACACAGTTCATTCTATAGACCAGGCTAGCCTCAAACTCATGGCAGTCCTGCCCAGGCTCCCAACTGTTGGGATTACAGGCAGTCACCACACCAAGCTTGTATTCCTAATAAATAAAATCTTCCTATTTACAACCTAAATTTCAGTGGCCACCAAGTTCACTTTTATTATTTCCAACATGAAAATATAAAACAGTTCTGGGCTCTCAAACACATTCCACCCCTTACTGCAGCAGCATTCAAAACTGCCAGAATGAGAGTCCTATTTATTAAGTGAAACAGTACAGAAAACGCATTCTCCACATAGCAGGCCAGGATGCCTTGGGATTACTCTCCTGGCTCTCCGAGACTTACTGTCAGGAAGCTAGGAAGAGGAAAGGAGCCAATAGTTTTTTTGCTGTTTTTTTAAGCTAGCACTTCTGTAGGAAAAGCAAAGAAAAATCTGTGGTAAAATGTTTAGCTAATAAAGTAATTCCAATTATTAGTTCAGTAGTGATTCCTTCATTTAAGCACCAAGATTGTACCTTCTTTATACATCTGCCACTTATTTTTAATTAGGTTTTTAAAAGGTAAATCATTATAAAATTCATATTATCTTTATCACTTTGCCTATTCTAGATATTCAATTATTAAAATAAAGGTCTTTGGTTTTTCATTGATTTAGTTTAAAAACATTTTATAGACTGCACATCTGTTTGAAATAAATTACCTTTTGCTACCAATATGAAAAGGAATGTGGGTTGAAGAAAAGTTTTAAATTTTCTAATGTGAAGCATGTAGGTAAGTACAGATACTATACTATTAGATTTTGTTTAAAAACTCTTGCCAAGAGTTGTAATTTGGAAAAATATTAAATCCTTAAATCAGTCCTTGGGAATTCAACAAACTATTCCGTTTATATTTCAGAATACAAAGAGTTCCTTGTAGACAAGCATCAAGCTTAACAAGCTAAAAAACCTGTACCTAGGGCAGTGGGGGTTGCTCTTTTCTTTGATTAGCCTTAATTGGTGTAATTCTTTTAGCATTAAAAAAAGCTTTTCCAGAGGAAAATTAGATAAGAACTACGACTCCTATCTTTTTTTAAAACACTCAAAGCCTTGCACTCAATTTATACTGGGAGCAAATGGGTAGTAACAAAGTTGCTAATTTAAATCCAAGATTAATTAATTCATTGAGGCAACCCTCTGAAATTGGGTCAAACAGGAAATGGGGGTTCTGTCCTATACAATTTACTTTGGGGGCAAAATGGGGATATAATTTAATTCTACTTTAATACAAATTAAGTGTCTTGGCTTATCCTACTACTTCTGTGGATCCTTAGAACACCGCAAACACCTGCAATCACGGACGTTTGGGGTGCCATGTTTTCTGTTTCCTTTCTCCAAGACCCCCGCCCAAGACCAGATGTAGTCACTTCCTCTGAAAGTGCCCCGTGGCTGAAGCCATGTGCTTAACATGTGGCAACAAGCAGCTTTACCCACTATAAAACCAACATCCAAGCCCAAGAGGGGGCGAAGTAGACCGTTGTAAAACGAGTTTTCAAGCTAAGGAAAATCTAGATTGGGCTTAGCCGATTTTCCTTCCGAGTCCCGCTTATAATTTATATCCGTCTAATCGGAGAAATGGCCACGACTCCAACCGCTGCAGTGGCCTCAGAGGCCTTGACACACTGGTGCCCCCTGCCCCGACAATGGAGCACTGTGCCTCAATCTCCGTGACTCTGGAGCAGCAGGGCAGGGCACTCCATTTAGGAACACGTAGACGACCCGTCGGGGAAAATGGCAGGGGTACCGAAAACACATTCCTTAGACTCTCGACCTTCCCGCGGCGCGCGGGCCTTGTCACGGGCCGGTTCCCCAGGCCCCAAAGCCGCTGGCACATGGCCCGCAGGCCGCCACCCTACATTCGGCCTAGCGAACCAAGCCGCGGCCTTCCCCGCCGCACTCCTTGAGTTCCCGCCAAACCGACAGCGGGCCCCGCAACCCTCCGCGTCTCCGCCTCAAGGGCACCGGCCTCCTCCAACCCGTCTGCGGCCTGCGCGGCCTCGGCGCCGAGTGAGGCCCCCGCGCGCCCGCCCCGGCTCCCGCGCTCAGAACCTGCAGAGCGGCCCCCGGGCGCGGCGGGCCGGAAAGCGGGCTGAGGGGGTGGCGAGGCCGAGCCCGTTCCTGACGCAGCAGGACGCAGGCTGAGGTGCGGCCGCCATCGCGCCTCGCCGATCCTGTCCTCCGTCGGTCTCGGCCCGACCCGGCCCGCGTCCCCCTCTACCCAGTCCTGACCCTCAGTCCTCACCTTCGGCGTCTGAGCGGCCCGCAACGGCGGAGACTCGGACGCAGGCCCAGGAAGGCGGCTCGCAAGGAAGCGGCTGTTTATTTTCAGAGTCCTTGCCTGCGCCACACGCGGGTCTGCACACGGCACCACATACGCCGCTGCGCACGGCTCTCCTCCGCCTCGCCCACGCGGCCAATCACCGCGCGGAGCTACGCGGACCAATCAAAGCCACCCGCGGGGAGCGCGGCCTTGCGCGAGGGCGCAATGGGGGTGGAGGGGGGGTGGAGAGGGGTGGAGTGGGGCGGGGCGGGGCGGGGCGGGCTCCTGCTCCCGGACGGCTTTTCCCGTCGTGCCTCGCGCGCAGCTTTTCCCGCGCGCACGTATGTGTAGTCTTGTAGGAGTTTGGGTCGCAGTGTTCCTTCGGGCGTCGAGTCCCTCAAGGCTTGCCCGGCTGTCTTAGCGAAAAGCCTGCTGGTCCCCCTGGATGACCACTTCCGGCAGCCTCAGCTTAGTGGTCCACCTGGCCCCCCTAAGCCCGAGGTTCCCAGAAGCCAATCGGGCTTCCGGAGTACACGCTCTTAACTGTGGACGCCGGTCTGCGCCGCCGAGTCCCCGAAGTGGCTGCGGCCACAGTCCGGTCCATGGGATGGGTTTAGGCTTTCTTGTCGCCGCTAGCGCCCCAGGACTGTAGTCCTCCGAAAGGAAAGTACCTGGTGAGGGAGAAGATGGTGACGGGGCACTACCTGAGACTGGGTCACAACACTCCTTGTGACCCATTTTGTGGGACATCCTAGGGTGTGAGGGTAAGAGAGGGTTAGGAAAGCCGTTTCCTGGGGCTGTACCCGTCGTCCTAGGTATGGCCTTGAGTTTGGATCTGGCGTTTGTATAGTCATAGAGCCTGGAACCAGAGGGCTTGCACCTGCGATTTCATTATAAGCCAGGGGGTGAAGCCCCAGCAGCAGAAAGGTTTTGTTCAATAGAAAAGAAACTAAAGCATTCTAGAACTTTGTGGCCCATTCTGGTACGAATTTTTACCAAAATAATAAAATGGAAGTCTCAAGTCTCCAGTTCAAAAAGGTGCTAAAATTACTCTCTAAAGCATTTTTCTCCGTTAGCCATAATGTGACTGCTGTCTCCCTGCAACAGACTCCATTTCCTTAGTGACTTTATTTTTATTCTATATGTGTGTTTTGCCGGCATGTGTGTTAAGTGGACCTGTGTCATGCAGTACCCTCAGATGCCAGAAGAGGGTGTTGGATCCTGGAACTGTAGTTACAGATGGTTGTTAACTAACATGTGAATGCTGGAAACTGCACCTGGGTCCTTTGCAGAAACAGCCAATGCTCCTAACTGCTTAGCCATCTCTCCAGCCACTATTTTTTAAACTTAAATGCACAGATCTTTGAAGAACTAAAGCCCAGGGTTTGGGAAGTGATAGAGTACCTGACAGCTGTGTATAGCCTTGGGTTCCAGTCCCCACTAGTGCGCAGGCACGGTAAAACCGAGATGAACAGTCCTTGCTGCTATTAGTATTCATTCATTTTGCGGGGGGAGCGGGGGCTATTTTGAGACAGGGTCTCCCTGTAGCCCCAGCTGTCCTAGAGCTCACTATGTAGACCAGGCTGGCCTTGAACTCACAGAGATCCGTCTGCCCCTGCCTCCCTAGTGCTGGGACTACAGGCGTGCACCACCACACCCGGCTTGTATTCATTCTTTTAATGACCTTGTAGAAACATAAGCATTTGTTTACCCCAGAGTTTCATCTCAGTTCCAAGGCTATAAATGGTTGGGAGACATTAAAGCTAGGTTCAGATCACCTGCACTCAGTTTGTGTTTAAGGGCGTGTCAATAAAAAATGAACTGGGTGTGGTTGTTTAATCCCAGCACTTGGAAAGCAGAGGCAGGTGATCTCTGTGAGTTCAAGGCCAGCCTGTTTATATAGAGTTCCAGGTCAGCTGGGGCTATCTGGGAGACCCTGTCTCAAAAAGACACTACCCCCCCGCGCGCGCGCAAAAAAAACCTGTCAATAAAAAACAACAATTACTAAAGAATGAATGTATGATTTTAAGAACCAGTGCTATTTTAAAACTTTTAGCCTGGTATGGTGGCCCACACCTTTAATCCTAGCCCTCCAGAGGCAGAGGTAGGCAGATCTCTGTGAGTTCAAGGTCAGCTTGGTCTACATAGTGAATTCCGGCCCAGCTGGGGCCACAAGGGAGACCCTGTCTCAAAAAAAAAAAAAAAAAAAAAACTTTTAAACCAAAACTATCTCACATAAAAATGTATTTTCATTGAGCATGGGGGAAAAAAAATCCAAGCTTGTTGAATAAATCTTTTGCAATTTATATATTGAGCTATAACATCAGACTTGCCAGTAGTAAAATGTTTTGTATTTAGATTGGTTATTACTGGGAAGCTTATAATGCTTTATAGATATGTAGTAATTTAATTTTGTTGTTTTGTTTTGTTTTTGAGACAGGCTCTCATAGCTGAGGCCTCCCTATGCAGCCCTAGCTGGCCTGGAACTTGATATATAGACAAGGCTGGCCTGAAACACAGAATCTGCCTCCCCAGTGCTGGGATCAAAGGTATATGCCACCTTGCTTGGCATGACTTTTTACCATTCAAAGCATAATCACACATGAAATGGTTGCTTTTTCTTTAGGCCCAGGAATAGAATGCTTCTAATATTAAAACTTATTCTAAGCTTGGGTATAGTGGTGTTACAGCTGATGGCCCTTCTCTATCTGCCATCCAGCTTTCCATAATAATCATTATAACTAGACTGGCTGTGAGGCATGTCAGTCTGCAAAGAGATCTGTGATAGAAGTTTACTTATATGGCCTGAATATACCCTTTAGTACACTTGTTTCACTGGAGAGCTTTAAAAATAAGAAAAAAAGCTTATCAAAAGTGAAGCTGTGGCCAGGAAGACAGCTCAGTGGGTAAGGGTGATTGCCACCAGGCCTGACAACCAGAGTTCGATTCCCAGATGTATCAGGAGAGAACAGACTCCCCAAGCTGTCTTCTGACCTCGGCACATGTGCTGTAGCATTCCCACACACATACACATGCACACACAAAATATATAGAGAAAATAATTTTTTTGGTCTTTTTGAGATAGGGTCTCCCTGTAGCCCCAGCTGGCCTAGAACTCACTATGTAGATCAGGCTGGCCTTGAACTCACAGAGATCCACCTGCCTCAGCCTCCAGAGTGCTGGGATTAAAGGCGTGCATCACCACACCCAGCAATAATTTTTTAAGGTTATGTTGTGAATAGTACTAGAAGAAAGAGATTCTGTTACATTCTTTTGCCTTGGAAATGTGATGTTATGTTTTGAGACAAGATCTCACTGTGTAGCACTGGCTGGCCTGGAACTCACTATGGACTCCTGGCAGACCTCAAATTCACAAGAAATCCAGCTGCCCCTGCCCCCGGAGTGCTGAGAGTGTGTGCCGTATGCCACCACACTGGGCTGGAAACGTGTTTTATTCTCTCCCTCCCCTGTTCAGTCTTGGCCGCATATTGTGCTCAGCATTACAAGGGTTACAAAAGTAATTAGTTATCATCTAGACCATGCTGTTGAAGAACTTTCAGGTTAACAAGAGCCAAAAGAAAGTATTAAGTGTTTGAGAGCAGATGAGCTAAAATTCTGTGACTCAGCATGATTCAGGAGTCCTTAAAATGTGGAGTAGTTGAGCAGCAGTGCTTGCCAGCTCTATTTCTACTTAGGTGTCCAACTGCAGAGCACATGCCTTAGATTCTGCTGTCAAATTGAGATGATATGTAAATCTTTTGCTTTTTGTTTTCTCTGCCAGCAGGGAAACTGCTGTGACTTCACTTGGAAAGTATGGGGCTAAGTGTGAGGAGAATAAATGGATGTTTCCACCTCTCAAGTCTGCTTCTGAAGCAGAAGCACAGGGACTGAGCTAAAGTCTGAAAAAGAAATCAGAGTGCAGGATTCACATCTGTGAATCCTAGCACTCAAGCACCTGAGGAGGGAGGTATACAAGGAATTCCAGGCCAGCCTGACTTATGGTAAAGTTCCAGGCGGGGCTACAGTGTAAAACCCTGTCTCAAAAACCAAAAAACAGGAGCTGGAGAGAGGGCTCCAGGATTAAGAGTATATGCTGCTCTTGGTGGATTTGGTGGCACACACCTTTAATCCCAGCACTTGGGAGGCAGAGGCAGACAGATCTTTGTGTGTTTGAAACCAGTCTGGTCTACATATGGAGTTCCAGGCCAGCTGGGGCTACAGGGAGACCCTGTCTCAAAAAGACAAAAAAAAAAAAAAGAGTATATACTGTTCTTGCAGAGGATTCTTCAGTTCCCAGCATCCACATCAGATCAGGCAGCTCACAACCACCTTGTAACTGTAGCTCCAGGGGATCCAATCCCTCCTCTTTTTTTTTTCCACTAGATACTTGTTTATTATTTGGTATGATAAAATGTATGACACTTTTTAGAAATTGGCCTGGAGTCTCAAGAAAATGACCACACAATCCAAAGTTTTTTGGCAAGGCAAAAAGTTTTACTTCTACAGAAGAGTAAGTAGCTGTGGCAAATCAAGCAAGCATGCTCACCCAGCAGAGAGGACCCTTCTGCAGGGTTTCTATTCCTAACACAAAAGGTCCTGTGCCTCACTCTGAGTGGTCAGAGCTCAGCCTCACATTCTTAAGTGATCATCTGACTTAAAGTGACATAGCTAATAAGCAGAATGCAATTTTCAGTCCCAAGTGCAACCTTGAGAATGTATTTTCCTTTCAAGAAGTCCTAATGTTGAGAAATTTGAATACTTTTTTGAGACACTGTCTCACTATATAGCTCTGGTTGGCCTGAAACTATGTCGACGAGGCTGGCTTCAGACTCATAGAAAATCACCTGCCTCAGCCTCCGAGTGCTGGGATTAATGTCAGCACAGAATTTTAATTTCTGCCGAGTGGCTTCTTTGTGATTTTTTTTTAATATGATGTTGTCATATCTAACCCTTTGATAGTAAAGACAGTACATTTCCTTTACACATCCCTCAACATCAGCAATGAGTAGTTCCGGTTTTGATAAGAGAAGAAGCAATAAAAATTCTTAAAATCAACAGAATTGGGGAAAGGAGGTACTAAGTGCCTTTTTTCCTAGAAATGTCAGTGACCAAGTCTGTAAAATAAAGCAAGGAAATTACCACATGGGGCTATGGATATAGTTCAATTGTTAGGGTGCTTGCCTAGCATGCCTGAAAGCCCTGGGTTCCATCCCCAACACCAAATAAACCAGGTATGGGGGTACATGCCTGTAATCCTAGTATTTTGAAGGTAGAGGCCAGAGGATCAGGAGTTCAAGGTCATCTTTGTCCTCTTTAGGCATCTCTCCTCATGAACACATGTAGGACCCCAGGATGGGTTACCCAACGTCCACAGGAGGCCACACCCCAATAACTCAGTCCTCAAACCAGGAGATGCAACAAGCAAGAGGATTTAATCATTTGCACAGACGGGCTTCTGCCTCACTCGGAAAGAGAGAGAGAACAGCAGCCCCGAGCTCAGCTTACAGGTGACTTTTAAAGGCAAAAACCACAAACCACAACAGGCAGCAGTGGGAGGGGGCCGGCAGCAACTGGCAGCAGTAGGAGGGGGGAAGTTTCGGGTGATGTCCGGCTTTGTGCATGGAGCACAAAAAGGTCAGCTTTGTCTCAGTAGTTAGGATTTTACAGTTTCCCTGAATAGTCTTCCTTTGGGGGGGATTTGGTTTGATTCCATCATTCCCCCCTTTTCTTATGGCAAGATTTTAATCATAAAATCTATGGCTTTTCTGGAAGCATCATAGCAGCAAGTTCAGTGAGTACCAATGTGATGATGGCAACAAGGATGATCAAGGCCACAGAGATGATGATGATAGCGACTAATTCCCAGTCAGAGTGGTTCATGTGTTTAGGACTTTGAGGGTTGTGGGCGTAGTCAGGAGAACCGTGTAGGGTCCTTTCCATCGTGGTTTAAGAGTCTTTACGTTGTGTCTTCTCACGTACACCTGATCTCCAATTTGGTAGGCGTTCGTGGACTCCCAGGCCGGTAGACAGCAACTAAGGGCTTCCAAACCTGGTTCTGGATGATCTGAAGGGCTTGGAGTCTTGTTTTTAAGCTGGGATTATCAAAGGAAGAGGGCAAGGGGGCAAAGTTACATTGAGAACAGGAGGTGGCCCTCCAAAAAGAATTTTGTAGAGGGTTAGACTGTGTATAGCAGGAGTATTTCTAGCTCAAAATAAAGTTAGAGGTAGGAGCTGTACCCAGTCTTTAGTGCCAGTCTCTAAAGCTAATTTGGTTAAGGTCTCTTTAATAGTTTTATTCATTCTTTTTACCTGTCCTGAACTTTGGGGTCTGTAAGCACAATGTAATTTCCAATTAATCCCCAGTGCTTTGGCCATTCCCTGACTTACCTGGGAGACGAAGGCTGGGCCATTATCAGACCCAATTACCTTAGGCAGTCCAAATCGAGGGAAAATGTCTTCGATCAGTTTCTTCACCACCATCTGGGCTGTTTCTTTCCGGGTGGGGAAAGCTTCAACCCACCCTGAGAAAGTGTCTCTGAACACTAAAAGATATTTATAACCATTGGGAGGACCTCAGTAAAATTTACTTCCCAGTTAGTCCCTGGTCGTGTCCCTCTTTCTCTCTTACCAGATGGGACCTTTCTTGGCAAGTACAAGGCTTGCAGAAGAGCCACTATTGTTTTTTTTGTTTTTAATGTCCTTACCAGCCGAGGTGAGGAGTCCCCGCCTCTGGTAAATTTCCCCATGTATATGGGCTGTGGCAAACGCATAGCGGCTGTCGGTGTAAATGTTGACCTTTCCGTCCTTTGCCAATTTTTAGGGCCTGGGTTAAGGCTTCTAATTCGGCCCATTGGGCTGAAGTTCCGGACGGCAGGGCTTGGGCCCAAATTATTTTCTCCCCATTGACCACCGCTGCCCCCACCTCACATTCACCGTTTTGCAGAAAGCTGCTCCCATGCGTATACCAGGTGGCATCTATATCTGTTAGGGGCTGGTCGGTGAGGTCTTCTCTGGTCCCATGTGTCTCTGAAAGTCAGCCAGGTCACGATGTAGAGCTTCAAACAGAGTAGGGGAGTTCTTGAATCCTTGGGGAAGTCGCATCCAGGTTAATTATCCCGATATTCCAGCTTCAGGGTCCTTTCATTCAAAAGCAAAGATGGGCTGGCGTCCTTTGCCAATTTTTAGGGCCTGGGTTAAGGCTTCTAATTCGGCCCATTGGGCTGAAGTTCCGGACGGCAGGGCTTGGGCCCAAATTATTTTCTCCCCATCAACCACTGCTGCCCCCGCCTTACATTCACCATTTCGCAGAAAGCTGCTCCCATCCGTATACCAGGTGGCATCTGTATCTGTTAGGGGCTGGTCGGTGAGGTCTTCTCTGGTCCCATGTGTCTCTGAAAGCCAGCCAGGTCACGGTGTAGAGCTTCATCAAACAGAGTAGGGGAGTTCTTGAATCCTTGGGGAAGTCGCGTCCAGGTTAGTTGTCCCGATATTCCAGCTTCAGGGTCCTTCCATTCAAAAGCAAAGATGGGCTGGCTAACCAGGCTCAGCCTTAGGGCAGAAGAGCGCATACTTCAGGTCAAGTACAGTATACCACCTATGACTAGGAAGTGAAGAACTCAGGAGATTATAGGGATTAGGAACAGTGGGATGGAGATCTTCTATCCTCCAATTGCTTCTCTTAAGTCTTGAACTGGTCTGTAATAATCTGTCCCTGGATTTTTCACGGGGAGCAGCGGGGTGTTCCAAGGGGATTGGCAAGGGTGAAGTATGCCCATTTGTAAAAGTCTTTGGATGTGAGGCCTGATACCCTTGCAGGCCTCTTTGCTCATAGGGTATTGTTTGATTGAAACCGGAGTTGCAGATGATTTTAGTGTAACCACTATTGGAGGCTGGTTGTATGCTAGTCCTGGGCCTCCTGTCTCGGCCCATGCTGAGGGGATTTTATTTAGCCAATCAGATATACCAGGAATTCCTACAATCGGTCCCTCATATAACCGATGTTCATCTTCCAGCCGCAAGGTTAATACCTGTAGTGGAGCTCCATCTTTTCCTTTTACAGTAGCTCCCTTTTGTAGTGAAATGGATGTGGGCTCCCAACTTGGAAAGTAAATCTCTCCCAAGAAGAGGGTACGGACAGTCGGGGACCAATAAGAACGAGTGAGAGACTCATCCTGTGCTGAGGTCCACCTTTCTTTCTGTGGTCCATCTGTATGTTTTTCCTCCAGTGGCCCCTTGGACCCAAGCTGTCTTGGAACTCATAGGTCCCTCAGTTGTTGTTAGGACCGAGTACTGAGCTCCTGTGTCTACCATGAAGGTAGTCAATCGCCCCCCTATCTTCAAGGTTACCCTGGGCTCAGGGGGAAGCTCCTGGCCCCGACTTCCCTAGTCCCCTAGAGTCAGGACTGGGGTTTTCTTTTGAAGTCTGTTCAGCTTCTTCAGACATTCTCGAGCCCAATGTCCTCTCTCCTTGCAATAGGCACACTGGTCTTTTATCTACTCGGGGCCTTCTCTTGTCTCCCAGGTTCCTACTTGGTCCTGGTCCTGTTCCCTGAACTACTGTGGCCAAAATTTGACTTAATTCTTTATTTTTCTTTTACTAAATCCTGTAAGGAGTACCCCTGAAGGCCCTCCAGCCATTGAAGCTTACCACGCTGACGCTCCTGGGCTGTTGGATCAAAAGGGGTGTACATCCGATATTCCTCTATCGCGTACCTTCGCCAAATTGGTTGGGTGCCTTCCGGCCCCTTTGAGACCCACTAACAGAGTCTGGCGATAAAGACAGAGACGCTCCCTACCTGCCACACCCCTTTGAGACCTGCTAACAGAGTCTGGCAATAAAGACAGAGACACTCCCTACCGGCCATGGTTTCAGGGTCCCAGTTAGGTCTGGTCAGAGGAAATCGTGTGTCCATTTCATTTGGGAGCAGAATGGGTCTCCCATCCTGCCCGGGGACATTTTTCCGGGCCTCCAGGATGACTCGCTGTCTTTCTTCTGTGGTTAGAAGGGCCTGGAGGAGTTGCTGACAATCCTCCCAGGTGGGTTAGTGGGTGAGGAGAATAGACTCTATTAAAACAGTTAGAGCTTGAGGATCCTGAGAAAAAGAGGGGTTATGAGTCTTC